GGGAAAGAGACCTGTTTCAAAATTCAGCTGCATTTGTAATGCAGGGCCCAACCCAAGGCGTGCCTCTGCAGCAATAACAGTTTGCATGTAATTAGGGAATGACGTTGAACTCGTGTTGCAACTGGGACACGGTGCCTCTGGCAGGAATTCTGTTTAGACAGGATCCTGGATTAATTTGCTCAGGTTTGAAGGCTTTCATGTTGTGATTGAACAGTGAAAAATGAAAGTGGGGGGTGGGTGGGGGGAACACTGGCTCAGCCTAGATCAGCAGCTTTGCCTGGATGCTTTTGAGAGCCCCTTCAGGCTGGCTTCCCATGAGCACTTGTGCGTGTGATTTGTTTGCTGGGGAGGAGGTTTGCAGAAAGATTGCCAGTGGAACGTGCCCATTGCGGGTACTGTGATATGGGTCTTCCTTTGCACTCGATGCACGTCGGAGGACTGTTAGACTTCCCCACCTCGGCATCCATGCAAGCTCTTGCAATGGTGCAACTCTTACACCCCCAGCATCAGCTTCAGCTCAGACAAACTCTAACTGGTCTCAAAACCCCACAGATCCTAAATCTATCTGTGAAGTCAATGCTGCTCCAGGGTATTTCAGTGCATGTAAGAATTGCCTCTGTTTCCCCCACTAAATGTCTTTCTTAAAGCAGTGTTCATTTGTGGGCATCTGAAAATCCTGGTCCTCTGAAACAGTCCCCAAACCCATTGGAAGGATCCTAGGACCTGGGGTACAACTGGAGATCTAACAGGGTTTAGTAGTGTGGATCTGAAAGGGTGAAATAGCTAGGGGTGGAGGCATCAAGATCACTAACCTGTTAGGGTCAGATAATATCATACACAGAAAGGGAGAAGATGAGAAGGCTGGCCTTGGGGGAGATGTTGTAGTAATAGAAACCATGCAAGTCTCTCATCAGAAAAGGGATTTTGTTGGATCTCAACTTAGGAGCACAGGAGACTTTGTTCCTTGATTTGTGTTTAGGCCACCAGAAACCCATGCCAGACGAGTCCCTGACCACCCAGGAGTCTCCCCACAGTCCCTTGATCTCCCTCATTCTCATTGTGCAATGTCATCTCCAGCTTTAGGCCACCCATGCAAAGAGAGAGGATGCTACCGGATGGAAAACATGTTGGATCCAAAACTTCACCCCCACGCAGTAGTCCATCAAGTTCAAAGGAGCTTCCATGAACTACCAGGATAGTAATTAATGGTTCATCAAGGAAAGAGCAGAACCTGAAAATTGGCCTTCTTCATAAGAGCTCCTGGCATTACGAGAAGGCCTGTAGGGCACCCAGGATGGGCAGCTCTTTTATAGGTGGGGATGGACTCTCTTGCTGAAGTGGCAACTGGATAGAAAGCCTGTAGGGAGAATTTAAGTTAATGGATGGATGACAGGGATCATGATCACATACTCGTATGGCAGTTTTTAATTAAAAAAAAATGTCCCAGAGGGATTTGCCAAGCTATTTCTAGGGCAGCATATAAATTGTATCATCCAGCAATGAAATGCGGCCACCTTTTAGATGGAGTGCAGCAGCTTTTCAAGAAAATTTCTACAAGACAGTTTAAAGCAAGAATGCCACTTGCAAGGGAAATTACATAGGCACTTTAAGTCATCAGAATTCAAATATTGTCATTTCTCCAAGGTGGATTAAGGTCAAAACGGCAGGGTCAAGAGCAGAGAGAAAAGGTTTTTTTGAAGATGCCCTCAAGAGGCAAGGAAATGAGCAGGGAGGTGGAGAGTGGACTGAAGCTTGGTAGTGTACTTTCAGGCCCTCTGAGGTGGGGGGGGTTTGTAAAAGGGATGGGCAGTGCATGTTATTGCAAATGTTAAAATTGCTCATGCTCAAGAATAGGGGAAAGAATTTAAACATGAACTCAAAGAAAGAAGGGAACTGGAATGACACCTCAGCTGAAGGCAAAGGTCCAGGTTTTGTAGGGGAAAGTGCACAGTGTGAGGAAGAAAGTTGGCTTCATGATGCATTCATGCCTTCCCTGTTTGGGAGCTGTCTGGGGGACCCCAACTACACAGACACCCCAGCTCCCCCTTACAGAAGGGGCTGATGTGGGGAGGACATGTACCAGCTCCATGCCATTAAGGGCAGCTTCATGTCAAGTCATTCCCCAGGGTCCAAACCCACTGTCTGGCATATTTGTCAGGGGGGCTGTACAAAACGGCTAGAAGCAAGGCTGAGTCTGGCTTGATGGAGATCTCTTAAATCATAGAGTTCAAATGGCTGCAACAAGAGGCAGGAGGAAAGGGAGAAAATCCATCCATTGTTGAGAACTGGGAAACAGATGATGAACACTAGTGTTAAGGAGATACAAAAATGGCTTCCTAATTTATCGACCCACATCCTGACTGGAGCAGCCCCAGCATGGAGAGCCTATACCTAGAGATGGCGGATAGTGGCTCTTGCCTCGGGATGCAACTCAGTTTTGCTATGCGGGCATCATCTTGCCATCACGTTAGACATGGGACCCAGGTGATCCCATCCTCTTGGGACCCTGTCGCTGAAACTCAGATGCTTCACCTTGCTGCTCAGTCTGTCCTGCATTCACAGATTTGCCCCTCAGCCCTGGGCAAACTCTGGAGAAGCAAAGCTGCTCAAATCACCATTGGCAGTGATGCTGCTTACTCAGCCTTCAAGCTACGATTAACAACCCTGGTACAACATGCATCCCCCCTTCCCTGTCTCTCTGCTGGGCTAGTATTTATAGCCCTAAATTAGGATGGTGGCTTGGAAACCACAGAGCTCCTCAGTGGAGACAAGGTCTCATAGCAAAGTAAACCACTCCCCAACCTTGCAGCCATGGGGAGGAAACAACCACCTCCTCCACCGGGCACAACAACGTGCTCTTGTGTGCTTCATAACCAGACAGCCTGGAACAGCGCAGGAAGGGCAGAGACGGGAAGCTCCCGGGGGCCCTCAATGAATTTTTCACTTCAAAGCCTAGTTCAGCCCATTCAAAGACTTCCCTTTAGAAGTCTTTTAGCCGAGACTCAGAGCATCCAGCTCCAGTCATTGCACGTCCAGTCCCAACCACCTCAATAAGCCTATAAGACAATGCAAACTTTCCTGTAAAGAACAAAAGAAAATCAAAGCACTTTCTGCTAGAAATGACCTGATGTGAGGCTGGAGGACAGCAAGGCTGTGCTATTTACAGATCCGTGGCTGCAGAGTGTTTCCAAACGCTTCCTTGTTTGAAAGACATGCCTGCAAAACTAGCTGATGAATGGAGGGTCCTTTCCACAAGCCTTTTTGGACGCGCTGGGCTGGCGGATCGGTTTTGCTGGAGGGTTTTGTGTGTGTGTGAATTGCTTAGAGGCCTTGTTGCTTCACAACGCAGCCTGCCTGTCTTGGCTTTGCCCATTTTTTTTTTTTTTAATGGTCTGGCCCTGAGGAGGTTTTGCTCTTTACTTTAAATCTGCAGCAGGAGATTAGCCCAGAGGGGGCCTGAGGATTGCATTAAAAAGTCATAGGATAAAATACATAAGGAGTGTTGGGAGCAAGAGCCATTCATGACCGCCTTCAGCACTGGGCGGCAGAGTCAGGCCCGCTCCCTGGCCTTTCTTTCTGCACATCCTCAGTCTGGGAAATGAAGCATGTCCTCATCCCAACCTAGTTATTGCCTGGCCATCAGGGAAGCCACCGGAGAGGTGGGCCATGTGGGTTTGACCCCCCTCCTGGCCTGAGCGGAGCATAAAATGCAAGTCTCCTGTTCCTTAGGGGAGCACTGTAGTGTCTAGGGTCTTAGATAATAAGGGGGGAAGGCACCGGGTCCTCCACCAGTGGCTGTTTCATAAAAGAGTAGGGCGAGCCAGTCTGTCCATCCTCAAAGGGACTGGTCACCTAGCCACCTGTATCTAGAAGTACCTAAATCTGCTTCCAAACAGGTGCCTCATCCAGGAGCAGGGCGAGGAGGAGACCACTCTCTTTGCAGTGTTTCCTGGTGGCTGGTTCAGGCGTCTCCCTATTTGACATGCTAGCAGCGATGCCATCTAACTCTCCCCATGCGTCGCAGAGGATTGTGTTAATTAGGATAAAATCTCAATGGATTCCAGGGAAAGGAAGCTCCTTGTAGAGCTCCTTTGCCCTGAAACAACAGGCGTAAGAGCCTGGTTGCATGAGACCACATCCCAGACTCCAGTGCATGGGCCTAGCATCGTTCGAGTGAATTGACCTCTCCATTTTGCAAGCAAGGCGGACTGCTCATGTGGGTACTTTCCAATGCTCAGGCTTCAGTGTGGTTCACCCTGGAGCAAAGGAATCAGGTCCCAGGCCAAGCGTGCATGAGTGGACGGCAGCTATGCAACTTGACTTCCGAACAAGCTAACTCCCTCAAGTTGCGACGTGACCAGGCGCTGCAGTCTAGAGTAACGCGTGCGTGTGTGATTCATACTGATAAAGCCCCAGACCCCTCAGGCTTAGAAGCAGGAGAAATAACACCTTTCAGGAATGCATCTGGGATCCCTCTGGGGCTTGGGTGCTATATTAATGAGAGCCAAGAAAGAATGTAAAGAGAGCAGACATCAAAGGAAGCCCTGGATAAGTTTCCAGCAACAGCTTTTTTTTTTTCTCTATCCTGCTCCCTGTTTGCAGGCAGCAAGTCTTGCGTCATTTGGAGGCAGGAATTAACCATGAGTTAGAGGAACAAATGGTGGCTTGTATTTTTTGGAAAAGACAGATTTAAGAGAGGGTCTTGCAGAGATTAGATGCAACATTTAAGGGGATGGATGCAAGGCAGATGCTACCAAGCTGCTTGAGCTGGCATGAAACGTGTGAACGAGCAGGCATGAAATTAACTGCAGAAGAAATAAACCCTGCAGGGATTTCAATGGGGGCTTCTTTATGCAGAGAGGTGCAGAGATACAGAGCAAGTTATAACAAAGCTGGGTGCAAAGAGCAGCCAGACGAGGACAGTATACTGGGAACGGGAGCAAGAGGGCATGGAAATTGGGCAGCCACTCTGCTTCCTCCCTACCATGGCTGACGGTTTGAGATTCATTTAGGAAGCTGCTACTCTGGCCCTCGCTGAGAAGGTTTAGGGATTTCCTTCCCTTCAGCCCTGGGAAGGATTAAATCACATGTCTGTATTTGGGGTTACTGAAGAACTGGTCGTTCTGCCCATACAGGCATCTGTATCATCATCTGCTCGCTGCGGCGTCGGAGGATCTAACAACACACACAAAATGGATGGGTTGGTGGGTGGAGGCGCGCCGATGGTATTTGGGAGATCTGGCGCCACCTCCGGATTCTGCCACGGGCTGTATGCGACCTTGACCTACTTGTGCCAACCTGTAAAATGGGGAAGGGTGATCTCTTCTTTCTGCCTCGTCTCTTAAACTCACAACGTACCTATACAGCACCTAGTACAAGAGGGCCCCGGTCCATCTGGAGACTGCTCTTGTAATAGCAACAATACCCACGTCCAGAAAGCAAGCAGCAGACAAACAAATCAAAGGCCAGAGGGTCTGTCTTTAGCCTGGGGGTACTACACTCTTCGGCAGACTGCCCTTCCATTAAAACTGCAGCCCTGTGAGCTTCTGCACCTTTCAGTCACACTCCAGCGCATTTGTTACCTTCCCTAACACAGCGTCAAGCAAGGCTTTCCATAGTTGGGGTTCAACATTATCATCTCAATAGGCAAATGAGCCCAGAAACATTGCCACCACCGTTTGCACCACCATTTTGCTTGGCAGAAGCAATCCTGGCTTTTTTTAATGCCTTGTTTTCACCTTACCCACCTTGATACCCTCCTCCATGCCCACACCCATGACAGGTCTAAATTGCCTTTCCCAAGTATGGAGCAAGAACAACAGGGACGGGACCCCCGAATGCCAAACTGCCATACCCAAAGTCAGTGCCCCGTCAAAGTCCGTGCAAGATTGCTATGCCTTGCACCCTTGGCCTCCCCGCGGAGTCACTGGGAGAGAGCAGAAAGGCAGTGACCTAGTACTGAATCAAGGGAAAGAAGAATAGGAGAGAGCAGCCAGGAGCATTA